ACTAGGACCAAACCAGAACCAAACCATGGCTAAATACAGTAATGAGGACTAAACCAGAACTAAACCAAGAATAAACCAGGACTACTAAACCTAAACTAAACTAAAACTGAACCAGGACTAAACCAGGACCAAACCAGAACCAAACCAGGACCAAACCAAGTCAAATCTGGGACTAAACCAGAACTGAAACGGAGCTAGACCAGGACTAAACTGAAACCAAACTAGAACCAAACCAGGACTAAATACAGAAACCAGGACTAAACCAGGACTAAACCAGAACTAAACCAAGAAAAAAACAGGACTATTAAACCTAGACAAAACTAAGACTGAACCAGGATTACACCAGGACCAAACCAGAACTAAACCAAGTCAAATCCAGGACTAAACCAGGACTAAAACAGAACTAAACCTAGACTAAACTAACACTGAACCTGGACTAGACCAGGACCAAACCAAATCAAAACCAGAACCAAACCAGGACTAAACCAAGAATAAACCAGGACTAAATACAGAAACCAGGACTAAACCAGGACTAAACAAGGACTAAACCAGGACTAAACCAGGACTAAATACAGAAACCAGGACTAAACAAGACTAAACCAGGAACCAGACTAAACCAGGACTAAACCAGGACTAAATACAGAAACAGGACTAAACAAGGACTAAACAGGACTAAACCAGGACTAAATACAAACCAGGACTAAACCAGGACTAAATACAGAAACCAGGACTAAACCAGGACTAAATACAGAAACCAGGACTAAACCAGGACTAAAACAGAAACCAGGACTAAACCAGGACTAAATACAGAAACCAGGACTAAACCAGGACTAAACCAGGACTAAATACAGAAACCAGGACTAAACAAGGACTAAACCAGGACTGAATACAGAAACCAGGACTAAACCAGGACTAAATACAGAAAACAGGACTAAACCAGGACTAAATACAGAAACCAGGACTAAACCAGGACTAAATACAAAAACCAGGACTAAATACAGAAACCAGGACTAAACAAGGACTAAACCAGGACTAAACCAGGACTAAATACAGAAACCAGGACTAAACCAGACTAAACCAAAACAGATAAACCAGGACTAAATACAGAAACCAGGACTAAACAAGGACTAAACCAGGACTAAACCAGGACTAAATACAGAAACCAGGACTAAACCAGGACTAAATACAGAAACCAGGACTAAACCAGGACTAAATACAGAAACCAGGACTAAACCAGGACTAAACCAGGACTAAATACAGAAACCAGGACTAAACCAGGACTAAACCAGGACTAAACCAGGACTAAATACAGAAACCAGGACTAAACCAGGACTAAATACAGAAACCAGGACTAAACAAGGACTAAACCAGGACTAAACCAGGACTAAATACAGAAACCAGGACTAAACAAGGACTAAACCAGGACTAAATACAGAAACCAGGACTAAACCAGGACTAAATACAGAAAAACCAGGACTAAACCAGGACTAAATACAGAAACCAGGACTAAACCAGGACTAATACAGAAAACCAGGACTAAATACAAAACAGGACTAAACAAGGACTAAAACCAGGACTAAACCAGGACTAAATACAGAAACCAGGACTAAACCAGGACTAAACCAGGACTAAATACAGAAACCAGGACTAAACCAGGACTAAATACAGAAACCAGGACTAAACAAGGACTAAACCAGGACTAAACCAGGACTAAATACAGAAACCAGGACTAAACCAGGACTAAATACAGAAACCAGGACTAAACCAGGACTAAATACAGAAACCAGGACTAAACCAGGACTAAACCAGGACTAAACCAGGACTAAACCAGGACTAAATACAGAAACCAGGACTAAACCAGGACTAAACAAGGACTAAACCAGGACTAAACCAGGACTAAATACAGAAACCAGGACTAAACCAGGACTAAATACAGAAACCAGGACTAAACCAGGACTAAATACAGAAACCAGGACTAAACCAGGACTAAATACAGAAACCAGGACTAAACCAGGACTAAACAGGACTAAACCAGGACTAAACCAGGACTAAATACAGAAACCAGGACTAAACCAGGACTAAATACAGAAACCAGGACTAAACCAGGACTAAACCAGGACTAACCCAGGACTAAATACAGAAACCAGGACTAAACCGTTCCCTGATCTTGTAGTACTTCAAACGCTGATACTTTAAAAACCTGCGGTCCTTTAGTTTTGAGTTGGATCTTGGATGTTGCCGAGTTTGGGGCAGAACCTTGAACCTCCTTCAGGACCATTTTACAACAAAACCCCCAGAGACCTGCGCCCGAGATTTACATTCTGTTTCCTCTCACATGTCGACACGGCGTCTGACAGCCGCGCCGCGCTGTGGGTGAAGCTCTCGAGGACGCGCAGCTGCTTTGACATTCAGACGGCACCGGATCCTGTTTTATCAAAAAAAAAAAAAAAAAAAATCTCATGTTTTGTTTTGTTTTTTTGTTTCGTCTCCGTCGGCGAACACAGAAACATAACGTCATTTCCTCCTCACAAACAGAGCTGGAGTTGTGTTTGTTTCGTTCACACACGTTTGAGTAACTCTTTTTATGAGTCTGTTTACATCTCCAAAGCTTAAAACGCTCTGGTCCACCTTGTGATGTCATGAGGTGGTAATTTTCAACAGTTTTAACAGCTCCTTTTACCTTTAGTCAGTGCTGGGAAGGTCACTTTTAAAATGTAATCCCCTACAGATTACAGATTACATACCCCAAAATGTAGTTTGTAACATAATCCATTAAATTACTTAAAGTGAGTAATGTAATCTGAATACTTTGGATTACTTGATTTACTGTAGAGTAGCAAAGACTAGGATGGTTTAGACCTGGTTTTAGACCTGGTTTAGATCTAGTTTAAACCTGGTTTTAGTTCTGGTTTAGACCTGAATTTAGAGCTGTTTTAGACCTGGTTTAGATCTAGTTTAGACCTGGTTTTAGTCCTGGTTTAGTCCTGGTTTAGGCATTGTGGATAAAATGCATTAATATTTCATGAGGTTAATAAGTTATAAATACGTTCATACTTGGTAAATATAAAATATAAATATGTTCTTTTCATTTTTATAAACTATTAAAAAAGATTTGAGCTAAAATCGTCAGAGTGAGACATCTTCACCTTTAAGGATCGTTTTATTTTCATTACAGAGTGAGCACTCGTCAGTTTCACAGAGGATCTTTGACGTGTTTACAAACGAGGCTAAAGCTAACGGAGCTAACGGAGCTAACGACGCTAAAGCTAACGCAGGTTGAGGTCTGAAAGTGTCTCTTAAACTCGCTCCATGTGCTCTAAACCTTTGAATCTTGGAAAACTTACATCTTTGTAAGTATTTGTCCGTCCACAAGCACTTTGATAGACGTCAAATGTACTTTTTTAAACTTTATTTTGAACACGTAACAGAGACTGTGAACTTGAGCTGAACATGTGATATTATGACGGTCTTATTACACAAACAGAAGATTATATATATATATATATATATATATATATATATATATATATATATATATTATATATATACACTTGTATTTATTTTACTCTCCAAACGTACAGGGTAGTTTCACTTATTACTCTGTAAGGGGGTTCAGCCTCATCATCAGAAGAGCCTCTAGTCAGAAAATCCATATTCAGGTCGTGTTACAAATTATTACAAATGAAATTGTATTTCAAGTTTTAAATATTTTAAAAAGTAAATATTAAAAGTAATAAATATATTAAACCCTTAAAATGCAGCAAAATTTTTTGAGGAAATAATGATTTGGGTGGAAATGTCTGTCTTAAGTGGAACAGGGTGAATAATTGTCTGATTTTCAGGCAACAACTTGCAAAATGTTCAGTAATTCGAGCTCTACAACCTTCATTTCAATTTTATTTTAAATCTTTTTCTTTGAATATAACATTGGTGGGTTTGTAAACCAACACATTAAGTAATGCTGGTCTTAGCTAATGCTGTTATACATGATTATGTGTTTTCCTGTCAATATCTCTAAAAATGTTGATGTTGCAGGCATTTTTAATTGTTATAGATCCAAAAGTTTACTAATTCTTCCCTGATATCCAGGGATTATTCCCTGTTGCTTTCATCAAATATACATTCAATTGTTCAAGAGAAATGTTGCTGACAAACCAATAGAAGAGGTCATGATTTTCTGACTAGTGGACCTTCTGATGATAAGGGTGTAACCCTTTGTAAGACGTCTCCATAAAAGCAAGAAAAGTGTGCGCTTTGTGTACAGTCTTTATAGTTCACTGGCAGTCTCTCTTCGTAGAAATAAACAGAAGACTTAACTTTTATTATCCTTTGTTTCGTTATTTACTTTCTTTTTGGTTATTTTATTTTTTATAAACAACAAAGGGGGATAATTCTTGTTGAAGTAAAATGAATTTAATTTAGGCCACTGCTCTAAATGTGTTACATTAGTTAAACTAGCGGCTAATGTAAATGTAATGGTTAAACCCACAGAATAAACGTTTATAGTGATCCTAGAGAGTAAAACAAAAGATAAGTGACCTGATTTCGGTCCTCATCATTCATAAATTATTAGTTTAAATCAGTTTTGACAGTTAAAATAACCTTTTAAGTTTGGTAAAACAACACAACATTGATAAAGTAGTGGAGTGTTAAGAACATATTTATATCACCATGTTCCTTTTATTGTTTTTAAAACGCTGTATTCACCCAAAACAACATTTTAATACGTTTCATTTCCGATTTTTTTTTTTTCCCTCTTGCTCTTTGAGCGATCACATTACATGTCAGTTGTAGTGTACAGTTTTGTATCATGTTTTTGTATATTTTTTTTTCCAGTGTTCCAGAGTGGAATATTGAACAGAATCTTACAACTAACCGTAAGGAGGGTTCGAATAGGGCCCGGGAGAGATCACTAAATGACTCAAACATGAACGGCTGATGTGTAAAACCTGCACTAACACCAAACCTAACCCTGAGCTCTCGGTCTCGTCTCTCCACAGACAGTAACTTCGTGCTGGGGAACGCGCAGGTGCAGAGTCTCTACCCCATCGTCTACTGCTCCGACGGCTTCTGCGAGCTCACCGGCTTCGCTCGCGGGGAGCTCATGCAGAAAAGTTGCATGTGTCACTTCCTGTACGGCGGCGAGACCAGCGAAAACCTGACCTCCCAGATGCAGAAAGCCCTGGACGAACGAAAAGAGTTTAAGACCGAGATCATTCTGTACAAAAAGAGCGGTAAGACTTTAACCTGGGCTTTCACGTGGTTTTAATTCTGACTTGGTTTGGTTAATAGAGGTAATTGATCTAAACCAGGACTAAACCAGAACTAAACTAAGACTAAATCAGGACTACATCAGGTCTAAACCAGGACAAGGGTAACGCCGCTTTAAATCAGTGTTTCCCAAAGACGAAGTAATAATTAGACATAAGAAGATTAGTCTTGGTTTAATCCTGGTTTAGTCCTGGTTCAGTCCTGTTTTAATCCTGGTTTAGACCTAGTTTAATCCTGGTTTAGTCCTGGTTCAGTCCTGTTTTAGTCCTGGTTTAGACCTAGTTCAGTCATCGAGGTTCAGTCTTGTGTTCAGTCCTGGGTTCAGTCCTGGTTTAGTCCAGGTTCAATCCTGGTGTAGTTCTGGTTGTGTCCTGGTTTAGACCTGATTTAGTCCTTCTGGTTTAGTCCTGAGTTCAGTCCTGGGTTCAGTCCCGGTTTAGTTCTGGTTCAGTACTGGTTTAGACCTGGTTTAGTTGATTTAGACCTGGTGTATTCCTCCTGGGTTCCGTCCTGGTTCAGTCATGATTCAGTCCTGATTTAGTCCTGGTTCAGTCCTGGTTTAGTACTGGCTTAGTCCTGTTTTAGTTCTGGTTCAGTCCTGTTTTAGTCCTGGTTTAATCCTCTTGGTTCAGTCTTGGGTTCAGTTCTGGTTTAGTCCCAGTTTAGACCTGTTTTGGTCCTGTTTTAGACCTGGTTTAGTCCTAGGTTCAGTCCTGGTTTAATCTTGGTTTATCCCCGTTTTGGTCTTGTTTTAGTCCTGGTTTAGACCTGGTTTAGTCCTGGTTTAGTCCTTGGTTTAGTTCTGGTTTAATCCTGGTTTAGTCCTGGTTTAGTCCTGGTTTAGTTCTGAACACGAGATCTTTTATATCTCTGGATCAGACCTTTATCACGTCTTAAAAAGTCTCGTCTCGTCTTTTCCTCTTCAGGTTGTAAGTTCTGGTGCCTCTTGGACATCGTTCCCATCAAAAACGAGAAGAGCGAGGTGGTGCTGTTCCTCGTCTCGCACAAAGACATCACCGAAAACAAAACCGAGGACCACGCCAACGAATCGGAGACGGGTGAGAGCCACGCGACGCGCACAAACGCTTTTATTTCACCATAATTCATCAGAAACGCCGGCAGCTGGGCCTCGCTCCGTCGCACACAGCAGCACTTTAATAGAAACGCTTTATAGACGTTGGTATCGGCTGAAACAGAACAGCTCCTACCTGCTTTTATTCACATCCCAGACCTTTTCTATTCATTATCCGTGAGCTTGGAGTCCAAAGAATAAATACATGCATAAAAAGGTTATTTAAATTTTATTGTGTACTGCAGTTTTGGGAAGTAATCTCGTTATCTGTAGTGGGTTGAATGGATTGGAGAGATCAGGGTTTCTCAGGGTTTGTGCTTTTGCAATTTTGGAGTCCATTTGGTTCATTTTTCTAACCTCTTTTGGATCATTTCTTGTTTTTAGTCCACTTTTAGACCTGGTTTGGGACAGAAATGAAGCTTTAGAATGATCTTGAGCTGAACAAAAATAAGAGAACATAAACTATATTTATACTGTATTTGACTGGATCATTGCACATGCTTTTAACACTTTTATATCTTTATTCTGAAAATGTTTCACTGTCTCACGTCTCTATTCACTTTTTCATGTTCTGGCTGATGTGTGAGTGTTTTCTGTTTGTGCCTCTTGGTCAGGTCGTCATTGCAAAGGAGAAGGTGTTCTCAGTTGGTTTACATGGTAAAATACTGAATACCATATTTTTCGGACAATAAAGTGCACTTAAAATCCTTTAATTTTCTCAAAAATAGAGAAATATATAATCTTGTGCACCTTATGTATTAATTCTGGTTGTGTTACCGACCTCGAACTGATTTTATGTGATACACGGTGCTCAAAAATCTGTCAAAATGTTTTAGTGCGTCTTTGGTAAACTACGACCGCACCTCACCTTTTGATGGATTGTCGGAGCATTACGACTACTGTAGTCGTGTCGTTTAGTCAAACCATGGATCTGTTGAAATAACTGGAGGGTGTTACTGCTTGTAGTTGCCTTCAGCTGATGTAGTGACACTCACTGGTGCTACAGCAGAAAAAATCCCATGGGCTGGGACAAGATTTTTCTCATAGAGCATAACGTAATCACAAACTGCTCATGTTCGGCTGACGGTCGGATTTTGTGTCGATTTTTACCTATTTTTATATCATAAACTTTGTCAGCTCAAAATCCTTCAGTTGTCTTAAAAAACGTTTTATAATTGTTTGATCCAGCTCTGATCTGCTCCACTCTAGCTGCTCAGTGTGTCTTATGTATGAAAAATACATGGACCACTACGGAACCTACCTGGACCACTGAGGGATCACACAGATATAAGGACACATAGGAATAGCTTGGAGTAGAGCCGCTGCTCCTTCACGTTGAGAGGAGCCAGCTGAGGCTCGGGCATCTGTTCTGGTGTCTCCTGGACGTGTCCCTCAGGAGGTGTTCATGTCCCACCAGGAGGAGGCCCCGGGGAAGACCCAGGACACACTGGAGGGACTATGTCTCTGGACTGGCCTGGGAACACCTCAGGTCCCACTGGAGGAGCTGGAGGAAGTGTCTGGGGTGAAGGAAGTCTGGGAGTCCCTGTTTAGACGCTGTTGCCCCGACCCGACCCCGGATAAGCGGAAGAAATTGAATGGATGGAGGAATAGAAAAGAAAGTTCTACTATTTAATGTGGAAAATCACATTCTGTTGTCTGAAGACAGTGGGTTTTTATTATCATCGCGGTGTTGGAATTGGTATTAAAATGGAGTTTGTAGTTTTAAACAGTGCTCTCTTGTTCTCTCGTCACGTTGGTGTTTTCCAGACGAGGAGACGGGTCTTCAGATCCACCGCGTCACTCGTCCGACGGGCTTCAGCGCGGAGAGACGCAGGAGTCGAGCCGTTCTGTACCAACTGTCAGGACACCTCCAGAAACAAGAGAAGAACAAGAGCAAACTCAAGATCAACAACGTAAGACACAACAGGGAACAGCAGCAGTGATAGTAGTAGTAGAGTAGTAGTAGTAGTAGTAGTAGTAGTAGAAGTAGTAATAGTAGTAGTAATAGTAGCAGTAGCAGTATTAGTAGTAGTAGTAGTAGTAGTATTAGTAGTAGTAGGAGTAGTAATGTGTATCAAAACAAAGATTTTTCACAGTATCAGCGAGTGAAGATGTGCCGTATACAGACTGAACCAGAACTGAACCAGGAGGATGAAACCAGATCTAAACCAGGACTAAACCAGGTCTAAACCAGGACTAAACCAGGACTGAAACTGGAAAACAGGTGATAGTTAACAGGACTAAAACAGGACTGAACCAGGACTAAAACAGGTTTAAAACAGGACTAAACCAGGATTAAACAAGGACTAAAGTAGGACTAAACCAGGACTGAACCAGGACTGAACCAGGTCTAAAACAGGTCTAAAACAGGACTAAACCAGGACTAAAACAGGTCTAAAACAGGACTAAACCAGGACTAAACAAGGACTAAAGTAGGACTAAACCAGGACTGAACCAGGACTGAACCAGGTCTAAAACAGGACTGAACCGGGACTGAACCGGGACTAAACCGGGACTAAACCAGGTCTAAAACAGGACTACAACAGGACTAAAAACACTACTGAACCAGGACTAAACCAGAACTGAACCAGGATTAAACCAGATCTAAACCAGATCTAAACCAGGACTAAAACAGGACTAACAGGACTAAACCAGGACTAAACCAGGACTAAAACAGGACTAAACAATGATTGAACTGGGACTAAATTAGGACTAAACCAGCGCCAAACCAGGACTACTGGACATTCATGGAGATTCTTTGATCTGTAGAAGTTTTTGCTGCTAAATTTTTTACTACAACTACTACTACAAAAATCCTCCTGTAATTCCTGTTTCTATTTTTGCGTCTCGTTTAATCAGATGTAAATTGTTCGTTTAATAATAATAAACCCGTCGTGTTCGTGTGGAGACTCGAGGCTGTTTTACATAATCACATCACAACGAAGCGCCGAACGTTTCTGAACTCAGACGGATCAGGCTTCAAATTAAACGACTGCCACGTTTTCATTTGAGGACGAGATTAAATTATGCTAAAACGATAACTTAATAAAGGACCATTAAAGACCGAGAGGGGGTTTGAAATCCTGCCTCTCGCTCGTACCTCACGTTCTGAATTAAAGACTCTGGACGGCATCTGAACAGATATACGATAAAACAGCTCTGGAGGTTAAAATAATTACTAACTACTAATTATAACGTGCTGGAAAATCAGGAAGTGTAAGGTTAGCATGATAGTTGTTGTTAGTTTTAAGGTTACGGCAAAACTCTGATCTGAAAATCGTGAAAAGCTCTAATAAAGTCGTCGTGGTGAATCATTTAAATGGTCTGAATGCAGAAGGGAAGTGAGGAAGAACTTGCAACTAACGAGTATTTTCTCATCGATTAATCTAACAACAAATTTTTCGATTAATCAATTGATCTATCGACTGATTTTTCGATTGCGCGGTTAATTAAATTATAACTTTTTATGACTTTATAGAGCAGCTTGTTTCCAAATTTCTATCAAGATTGTTGTTTTTATTAGTTAGTAGTAAGAAGTTGCCGATACGATACATATCTCGATACAGTAATCTTACAATTCAATACGATATAGTTCAAATCGATTCGATACGGTTCAATAAAAAATAAAGTCTAAATCGAGTCTTTGTTAAATCACTTCTTCTTGTGCAAAGTTCAATATTTTAATCATCAAAACAGTGAAAATGTCAAATGTGTCGCATAAACGAGTTTTCTCCTCCCAAATAAACCAAAAAATTCTCTTTGCGATATATCGATACATCAGCCAACAGTATTGATACTGTATTGTCACATTAAACGATACGATATATTGATATTTCAATATTTTTGCTAAGCTACACTAGACTAGTTAAACTAATAAAAAAAAAACAAAAAAAACAGGTACGTCATTTAGTTTTTTGTTTTTTTTTTCATCATAGCCCCCCCCCCAAAAAAAAAATCTTGCCTTTTAATCTTTTTTTTTTTTTTTCAACAACTCAAAAAAATTAAAAAAAAAATAAAAAATTGTTTTTTTTTCATAGTATTTTTTATTTATTTATTTATTTTTTTACTGTTGATGTGACTGATGAAAAAAAAAATCTAAACTCAAACACTCTAGAGCCTAAGTGTTTTAAGTGTGTGATTTACATAATTTAAATTTACCCCGAGACTTCATTTGTTCGTTTTGTGTCGGATTAATTGTGTAAAAAATTTATATTACGGGATTTTCTGATTTATGTTGTAAGTTTTATCATCAAAACTCCAAAAATCCAGCTCTGTTTTTGAGGAGGGAACAACAAATCGTGTGTCATTTGTTGATTCTTTTTTTTTTTTTTTTTTTATTTTTTTTTTTTTTTATTGATGGCTGATGAAAAAAAAAAAATCTAAAATCAAACACTCCAGAGCCTAAGTGTTTTCCCAGTATATTAGTTTAAATGCCAGAGTGGGAAGATACAGCACTTCTACAGCTGTGTTTTTAATTATTTAGTTTTTTTTTTTACATTTTTAAGTCAGAAAAATTGGGTACAGAGACTTTAAATTTGGGCTAATCCTTAATTTGGATCTACAAAAAGAGTTGGGTCAGACAGGGAGGGCATCAGGGTTAAAACTGGTTTTCTATCTTAAACAACTGTCTCTATATACGCTGATATATTTAGCGTTTTTCCTTAATACTCGAAATTAAAACTCAAATAAAGCATGATAGAAGTCTGAGAAATTGTAGTAGAAGTCAAAAGTTTAAAATAAAAACTAAATCAAAGCCCTCAGAAGTTCTGGTGGTGTATTTGTAGTCGGGTCGGTGGTTCGGTCTTCGCCGTGACGGATGTGTTGCTTCAGATAAGAAAAATCTTTAAAATGATGATCAAAAGCCAAAACAAAAGCTCTGAAGTCGGAGCGTTCAAGTGACGAGAATACAAAACAAAACACATTTCACACCGGAGCTGGACAATTTAAGGTAAAATCCGATCCAATTTCAGGACGAGAATTACAACTGTGATTTAATTTTCACGTTTTAATGACTGAAATCTTCTTCCAGTGACACTTCTACCTTTTCTGGCAGCTTCATATTTAGTTTATATCTGTCATAGATCTAGAACAGTAGATCTCGCGTCGCTTCGTTATGGTTCCAGTTACCGTGACGAGCTCGGAGGCGTCCGTGTAGACCGTCGGAAAACCGCGGGCTAAAGGTTCGTGCCCCACAGGGCGAAACCGCCACAGCTGTCGCCTGATCACAGGCTGCAGACGCCCTGCGCCACAGACTCAGGGTTCACTCTCTCTCAAGTCCAAGAGTAGTCCTGGTTTAGACCTGGTTTAGTCCTGGTTTAGACCTGGTTTAGTCCTGGTTTAGACGTGTTTAGTTCTAGTTTAGTCCTGGTTTAGTCCTGCTGGTTTAGTCCTGGTTTAGACCTAGTTGGCCCTGGTTTAGTCTTGGTTTAGTCTTGGTTTAGTCCTGGTTTAGACCTGGCTTAGATCTGGTTTAGACCTGGTTCAGTTCTGGTTTAGTCCTGGTCCAGTCCTGGTTTAGGCCTTGTTTAGTCCTTGTTTAGTCCTGGTTTGGATCTGGTTTAGTCTCAGTTCACTTCTGATTTACTCCTGGTTTAGACCTGGTTTAGTCCTGGTTCAGTCCTGGTTTAGGCCTTGTTTAGTCCTGGTTTGGAGCTGGTTTATTCCTGGTTTAGACCTGGTTTAGTCCTGGTTCAGTCCTGGTTTAGGCCTTGTTTAGTCCTGGTTTAATCCTGGTTTACTTCTGGTTTAGTCCCACTGTTTCAGACCTGGTTTAGTCCTGGTTTAGTCCTGGTTTAATCTTGTTTTAGTCTTGGTTTAGTCCTGGTTCAGTCCTGGTTTAGTCCTGCTGGTATAATTCTGGTTCGCTCCTGGTTTAGACTTGTTTTAGACTTGTTTTAGTCCTGGTTTAGTCCTGGTTTAGACTTGTTTTAGTCTTGGTTTAGTCCTGGTTTAGACTTGTTTTAGTCTTGGTTTAGTCCTGGTTTAGACTTGTTTTAGTCTTGGTTTAGTCCTGGTTTAGTCCTGGTTTAGACTTGTTTTAGTCTTGGTTTAGTCTTGGTTTAGTCCTGGTTTTAGACTTGTTTTAGTCTTGGTTTAGTCCTGGTTTTAGACTTGTTTTAGTCTTGGTTTAGTCCTGGTTTAGACTTGTTTTAGTCTTGGTTTAGTCCTGGTTTAGTCCTGGTTTAGACTTGTTTTAGTCTTGGTTTAGACCTGGTTTAGTCCTGGTTTAGACGTGTTTAGTTCTAGTTTAGTCCTGGTTTAGTCCTGCTGGTTTAGTCCTGGTTTAGACTTGTTTAGTTTAGTTTAGTTCCTGGTTTAGTCTGGTTTAGACCTAGTTCGGTCCTGGTTTGGTCCTGGTTTAGACCTGGCTTAGATCTGGTTTAGACCTGGTTCAGTTTCTGGTTTAGTCCTGGTCCAGTCCTGGTTTAGGCCTTGTTTAGTCCTGGTTTAGTCCTGGTTTGGATCTGGTTTAGTCTCAGTTCACTTCTGGTTTACTCCTGGTTTAGACTTGGTTTAGTCCTGGTTCAGTCCTGGTTTTAGTCCTGGTTTAGTCCTGGTTTGGAGCTGGTTTATTCCTGGTTTAGTCCTGGTTCGGTCCTGGTTCAGTCCTGGTTTAGGCCTTGTTTAGTCCTGGTTTAATCCTGGTTTACTTCTGGTTTAGTCCCACTGTTTCAGACCTGGTTTAGTCCTGGTTTAGTCCTGGTTTAATCTTGTTTTAGTCTTGGTTTAGTCCTGGTTCAGTCCTGGTTTAGTCCTGCTGGTATAATTCTGGTTCGCTCCTGGTTTAGACTTGTTTTAGTCTTGTTTTAGTCCTGGTTTAGTCCTGGTTTAGACTTGTTTTAGTCTTGGTTTAGTCCTGGTTTAGACTTGTTTTAGTCTTGGTTTAGTCCTGGTTTAGTCTTGGTTTAGTCTTGGTTTAGTCCTGGTTTAGACTTGTTTTAGTCTTGTTTTAGTCCTGGTTTAGTCCTGGTTTAGACTTGGTTTAGTCCTGGTTTAGTTTGTTTTTAGGTCAGTTTTATGCAGTTAAAACGTTTGAGGGGATAATTTACACTCACCTTTATTTAAAACCATAAAAACTGTCTCTTCTGTCTTTGTGTCCGTCTCTGGTCTTGTCGTGGTCAGAGCGTCCTGACGGCGAACGCCAACCCCGTCCCGGAGTATAAAGTGGCCGACGTGCAGAAGTCCCGTCTCATTCTTTTACATTACGGTGCGTTCAAGGCCGGCTGGGACTGGCTCATCCTCCTCGCCACTTTCTACGTGGCCATCACCGTCCCGTACAACGTCTGCTTCACCGCCGTCGAGATCCGCGAGGACGGGGTCGCTTCGGCTCGAAACCCGCCCACCGTCAGCGACATCCTGGTGGAAATCCTCTTCATAATCGGTAAGAGTTTGTTTGTTTATTTATCTGTTGTCATTTACTGGTTATTTTGAAACGTAAATGTTGTAATTTTACATTTTTGAGGCTCTGATTTACTCTTTTCGTCGTTTCCTCTTCACAAACAGACCTGGAGTTTTGTTTTGTTTCATTCGCACGTGTTTCACACCACCACCTTGTGATGTCATGAGGTGACGCAGAAAGAGCTCCACTGTGTTTTTAAACTCCACACACCGTCACTAGAATCATTTGGATCATTTCAGCCCTGCACTTTCCAAACTCGACCCAACAAAAGGTAAAAGGTAAAACTGTTCACTTGAAAACGTCTGCTTCATGACATCACAAGGTGGAACAGAGCGTTTTGAGCTGCACATGTAGACAGACTAATAATAAAGAGTTACTCAAAGATGTGTGAATGAAACAAAACACAACTCCAGCTTTGTTGTTTGCTTCATTGCAACAAACCACAAAGCAGAACAGGAACAACTCAAGTCGTCCGTTTGTGACACTATTAAAGAGAGAAGCAGATTCTGGACTGAAACGGAGCAAACATCATCAAAACAAACATCGTCCCTGGATTAAAGATGCAGGCAAAATACAGAAACGTTCCCACAGGACGATAAACTGGGACGAGGGGCTTTTTTACTCTCACACACCTGGGATTCTGTCGTGAGGAAGTGGGACTGCAGGTGGCGCTGTCGTCCTGCCTCCACCGAGAGGAAAACAGAGACAAAACCTGTTTAAATCAACTGAGCGACACGACACAGAAACATCACGAGACTCTGAGGAAGAGAACAGGAGCAGAACAAACTGTCAGGACAAAAACAAACTCTTGGTCTGAAAAAAAAAGAACCAAATATAAATTATCAGAAGACTAAATGAACCTGACTGGACTGCAACTCCAGGTCTGTTTGTGATGAGGTCACAACATTATAACATGGTTCAGAAAATCGCATAATATGAACCCTTTAAGTCACAGGTGTCAAACATACGGCCCGGGGGCTGGATCCGGTCCTCCAAGACCTTTAATCTGGCCCTCGGCTGATTTTCTACTCAAATATTTTAATGATATTTTCTATTAAAATGTTGTTAATTTTGGAACAGTCTGCCACTATCAATAAGATAAACTTCAACTCTTGTCACCTTCAAGTCCTACTTAAAAGAGCGGCTAAAGAAAAAACAGACTTGTGGACACTTTTAGTATAGATTTGTTACTTGTTTTTGCTTTGTTTAAATTTGTGGTGTTTCCTGCCGAGGGACGACAGATGGAAATGAGCAGACTTGCTATAATCTGGCATATTTACACTGCAATGTTGTAGATGTTCATTAATATGCACTGTCCCTATTAAATAAATAAAAAAATAATTTTCTGTGGTGTTTATCACAGCAGCGTCTCCAGCGTCTCTGTACGTGGCCCCTCCCACCAGAGCAGCACAAATGAAGACTTGTCTCTTTCCAAACGCTCTTAAAGGACGATCGTTTTGACTGTTGACCGTGACACCCTCATCAGAAAAATGTCCAACATGAGAAAAGTGGAGCCGAGTGCAGGATTTTACAACAAAAATTTACTTATTCCTGTTTACAGACAAGTTCATGTTAAAACTTTGTGTTGAAATTACATTTTTCAGTTTTCAAGTTTCAGGTTGTTCATAATATTATAATATTTTGTAAAAGAAAGAGTTCATCAGTTAAAAAAGATTTCTGTAATAGATTTGTGTTTCTCTGCACAAATATTTGAACTTTATTTTTGGGGTTTATATGACATGAGTTTTCTGATCCGGACACTTTGGATCAAAGTCGGTTGGACACGACCCCCGGAACAAAATGAGTTTGACTCTCCTGCTTTAAGTCTTTGTGGTTTACACCTGATGTATAAAAAATACTATACAACTTCGGTTTACTGTTTCTATCCTTAAAATATCCAACAATTTGCTGTAATTTTGCTGTAATTAGTTTGTTCTGGCCGAGCTACTGCGACGGAACGTTCATCTAATTTAACTCAAACATCCAGTGGTGATTTTTGAAGCGATTCACTTTGACACGAGGAAAAGAATATTGAGTTAAAAAAGAGCTCAGAGTTTTGTCTCCCGTCATGTTCCAACCCAAAAGTTTAAAGATTTACATCATTTAAATTTACTCCGAGACTTCATTTGTTCGTTTTGTGTCGGATTAATTATGTGAAGGACTTTTATTACGGGATTTTCTGATTTATTTTGCAATGTTTCTTCATCAAAACTCCAAAAATCCAGGTTTGTTTTTGAGCAGGGAACAACAATCTGTGTGTCGTTCGTTCATTCGTTTTTCAAAATAAAAGCAAAAATAACAAAACAAAAAAGCAACAATTTTCTTATTCTTATTTGTTTCCAAAACCAAAACGAAAAAAAAAACAGATAACATTTTGTTTTTTCAGTTTTTGGTTTTGTGTTTAAATGAAAAATGGAAAAAAGCGGACTGAACCAGGACTAAAACAGGACTAAACCGTTTTCAGTCCAGGTCTGGTCCCAGTCTCAGTCCCGGGCTCACTCCCAGTCTGGTCCACAGTCTGGTCCTGGCCTCAGTCCCGGTCTCAGTCCCGGTCTCAGGTCCGGTCTCAATCTCGCTCTCAGTCCCAGTCTGGTCCCGGTCTCAGTCTCAGTCCAGGTCTCAGTCCCAGTCTGGTCCCGGTCTCAGTCCAGGTCTCAGTCCCGCTCTCAGTCCAGGTCTCAGTCCTGGTCTGGTCATGGTCTCAGTCCCGGTCTCGGTCCTGGTCCTGTTCCCTGTCTCAATCCTGGTCTCAATCTTGGTCTCAGTCCTGGACTGGTTCTGGTCTGGTCCCGGACCTGTTTTAGTCGTGGTTCAGTCGTTTTTTTCCATCAGAAACTGAAAAAAACGAATCATTATCTGTTTTTTTTTTTCATTTTGGTTTTGGAGACAAATAATAAAGAAAGTAGTTGTTTTTTTTCGTCTTCTTATTTCTGGTTTTATTTTGAAAAACTAATGAACGACACTTGGATTAACAACATGAGAACACGACTTTAAACTCACTAGAGGTATTTTTAGTAGTTCAGGACGTTTAACTGGGACTTGTTTTTGTTTTTTCGCAGACATCGCGTTGAATTTCCGTACGACTTTCGTGAGCACGTCGGGGCAGGTGGTGTACGACGCTCGCTCCATCTGCGTCCACTACGTCACGTCCTGGCTCTTCGTCGACCTCATCGCCGCTCTGCCCTTTGACCTCCTCTATGCCTTCAACATCAGTGTGGTCAGTAGTCCTGGTTTAGTCCCGGTTTAGTCCCAGTTTAGACCTGTTTTAGATCTGGTTTAGACCTGGTTTAGAACCGTTTCAGTCCCAATTTTATCCTCTTTTTTTTAGATTGGGCCTGATTTGCAGTGGTCATTAACTAGACTCTAGACCGAGTTTAACACCTTGTTTATTAATCTTGATTTAGTCCTGGTTTAGTTCTGATTTAGTCCTGGTTTATTCTTGGTTTAGTCCTGGTTTAGACCTGTTTTAGACCTGGATTAGACCTGTTTTAGACCTGGTTTAGTCCTGGTTTAATTCAGGTTTTAGCCTGCTCTTATGGGGTGTTTCTGATCTGATCTGGTCTTGGTTTAATCCTGGTTCAGAACTTGTTTAATCCTGGTTTAGTACTAGTTTAGTCCTGGTTTAGACCTTATTTAACCCTCGTTTAGTTCTGGTTTCATCCTACTTTGGTTTGATCCAGGTTTAGTCTTGGTTTAGTCCTGGTTTAGATCTGTTTTAGACCTGTTTTAGTTCAGGTTTTGGCTTGTGATCAACAGTTGTCAGTATGTTGATTTAAACATGGTTTAGTCCTGGTTTAGTCCTGGTTTAGACCTTGTTTAACCCTTGCTTACTTTTGGTTTCATCCTAGTTTGGTTTGGTCCAGTTTTAGACCACATTTAGTCCTGGTTTAGACCTGGGTCAGTCTTGTTTCAGGCCCAATTTAATCTTGTTTTTTTAGGTTGGGCCTGAGTTGCAGTGATCATTAACTCGACTCTAGACCCAGTTTAAGACCTTGTCTATTAGTCTTGGTTTAGTCCTGGTTTAGTCCTGTTTTAGACCTGTTTTAGTCCTGGTTTAGTTCAGGTTTTGGCCTGCTCTTGTGGGGTGCTTGTGATCAGCAGTTTTCAGTATCTTAATTTAGTCTTGGTTTAGTCCTGGTTTAGACCTTGTTTAACCCTCATTTAGTTCTGGTTTAATCCTAGTATGGTTTGGTCCAGTTTTAGTCCTAGGTTAGTCCTAGTTTAGACCTGATTTAGACTTGGTTTAGTCCTGGTTTGGTCCTGTTTTAGTCCTGGTTTAGTTCAGGTTATGACCTGCTTTTGTGGGATGTTTCTGATAAACAGTTGTCTGTATCTTGATTTAGTCTTGGTTTAGTCCTGGTTTAGTCCTGGTTTAGTCCTGGTTCAGACCTGGTTTAGAAGTTGTTTAATCCTCATTTAGTTCTGATTTAATCCTAGTTTGTTTGGTCCAGTTTTAGTTCAGGTTTTGTCCAGTTGTCCTGGATTAGACCTTGTTTAATCGTGGTTTAGTCCTGGTTTTATCGTAATTTTGTTTGGTCCAGTTTCAGTCCTGGTTTAGTTCTAGTTTAGTCTTGGTTTCGACCTAGTTTAGTCTTGTTTTAGTCCTGGTTCAGTCCGTTATCTGTTTTTTCCATTTTTCATTGAAACACAAAATCAAAAACTGAAAAACTAATCATTATCTGTTTTTTCATTTTGGTTTTGGAGACAAATAATGAAGAAAATTGTTTTGTTTTTTCATTTTTCTTATTTTTGGTTTTATTTTGAAAAACAAATTACACACGGATTAAACCATTTTCCCATTTTATTCTTTTTCGTTCTTCTTTCAAATTCAAACAGCGACTGGTACACGCACCAAAATGACACATTTACAACGAAAATACATTTATTTTTACTTATTAAACCCAACACATTTAATTCAGAAATCCTACTTGATCCCTGGGTTAAAGAAACACGACAACCGAACTTTTATTCCGTTGTTGTGTTTTTGTTTTTGCAGAACTTCGGGGTGCACTTGCTGAAAACGGTGCGTCTGCTGCGTTTGCTGCGTCTGCTGCAGAAGTTGGACCGTTACTCTCAGTACAGCGCCGTGGTCCTGACGCTGCTCATGTCCACCTTCGCCCTCCTCGCCCACTGGATGGCCTGCGTCTGGTACTTCATCGGACGCAGCGAGATCGAGAGCAACAGCGCCTCCTCCTGGGACATCGGTACGTGCGCGATTAAAAAAACTTCTGTGATTTTTTTTTTTTTTCCACATGTGTTTGTAAAAGTTTAGAATCAGCAGCTCTTCTAAATTAATCCTCTGTGTGTGTCTGCAGCTAATCTACTGTCAGGAAGTGCACGGTTAGCATCCTAGTCAGTAGCTTTTACTGTAATGCCAAAGTTTTCCACGTTATTCATCTGGAAACTCTATAAAACACAGAACGTCTTGGCGTTTATTATTGGAATCTGATTGGTCACAAGTCGAAAAAATCAAACTTTAGTTAAATCCAGTTCAGAGAAAATCTTCACTTCCACAAACGCTGCAAAAACCTTGGGCAAAATTTAAGATCCAAACACTTAAATTTATCAGAAAATGACTTAAAACTGTCTGTGAAATTTTCTGTCCACGCAGCGAGATCGTTTTACTCGACAAGTTCTCTCAAAATAAACGACGTCTGGACAAAAATGAAGCATCTTAGACCTCGTAAGTAGAGAATAAATCTGAAAACAAGATGATTGAATGAAGCAGACTCGTAGTGCAGACTCAGACTCAGATAAATTTGACAAACATCTCTTTTACACGCTTTGAGTTACGTGACTAGATTTTCAGAATCAAAATCTGGGGCACGTTCGATTTGAGGTTTTTGGGAATAATAAAACTGTGAAATGAAAACTGTTCTGCACTCGGCTCATTCAGGACGAACATGTGTCAGTATTACCGTATTTTAGAGGCCATTAGACGCGCTCTTAAGCCTCTAACTGCATCAAAAAATGACCGCGCGCCACAATCCAGAGCGCCCCATACACGAATCCACTCGGGTGTCCCAGCACGACTTCAGTAAACTACAAACACACACGGAGCAGACAGCGACCGCACAACGAAACACACCCACACACACACTCATCACTCCACGCCGACGAGGAACGGAACGGAAAAACCACGAGTCCAATGTGCCGCTTCTAGACACGACTGAACAACTGAGTCACCGCGAACACGCCGACGATCCGTTGGTCCCAGACACACCCTCCCTACACGAAAGTTTTAAAATGTAAAAAAATTACCGATAACGACGGACAAAACTGAAATTCCGTTGACCAAGATTAGAATTTCTGTCGAGATGAATGGAGAACTGTGCTTAAAGACGGGGTATTTTTGGAGCTTTCTCCCATGTTTTAATGTTCCATCATCTTAAAAAACATGTCTGAAGAGGTTTTAGAGACATCCACACGTGTTTGAGTAATCTAGCGATCTCTCTGTACGAGATTTCTCCATAAATACGACGGTAAACATGAAAATTCTCCATGAATATTACAAAAACGTGACAGAAAACCGCAGTAGTTTCGTTAGAGGGACGCGCGGTGATTGTGTTGTGATGGCGCTCTGAAGGGGGAGCGACTTAGCAGCAAAACCGAAACTTATAAAACATGTTAATCTGTTGTTGCGGGTGATTATAGCGTTTACAATAAAAAGAGCTAAAAATGTGAGGAACGGAACGGAGGAACGAACCGAAAAAGCCACGAGTGCAACGTGCCGCTTCTAGACACGACTGAACAACTGAGTCACTGCGAACACGACGACAATCCAGCGACAGACACTACTCCCTACACGCCACAACTGAACACACCCAGAGTCACCGTGAACGAACAAACAAACAAAACCACTCACCCATCACACTGTTGGGTTTCCTTTAAAGTCCCACATGGTTTATTTTAGAGCCCGAAAGATATATCGGTTGGCCGATATTATCGGCCGAATTGAGCACCTTGAAGCATATCAGCTATCGGCCGCAGACACAGATCCACTGGGATTATTTTCTTTTTACGGACAATCGGTTTGAGTCTGGATTAAAAGGACATTTATTAGTTCAGACTTGTGATGTGGGAGGAGCCTGTGTGATGTGGGAGGAGCCTGTGTGATGTGGGAGGAGCCTGTGTGAGCGGTGAGTGTTGGAAATACATCGACTTTGAAGCTAGTTTAGGTTTTGTTAGCGGTTAGCTGCTGTAGCTCCTGCACATAAACAGGCTGTTTTCTATTGGTCTATTGTAAAGTGATTATATTGGCCGTATATTTGTTATTGGACCAGTATTGATATGTAAATGAGCTGTGAACAGACGTGTGAATTATGACATTTGCGCATATAATTAACTACCGCGGCGCACAGCATTTATGGCTAAAGGCTAATAGCGATTGTTTATTTACTTGCTAGCAGTGATGGGTCGTTCGCGAACGAAGCGGCTCTTAGATCCGGCTCTTTGAAGCGAACGACGGGAGCCTGATCCTTATTGGGAGCCGTGTTTTCTCTTTCTCTCACTTTTTTCTCTTCACGCCGCGTGCAAACTCGTGGTAGTTTGACAGCGGCAGCGGCTGAAAACGAAACTTTCAAAACTCTGCGTGTGCATAGTGTAAAAAAAAAAAACTTATATATATTCAGCATAAAATAAATAAACCAGGACTAATCTTGGGGTCGAGAGAGGGAGAGAGATAGAGGCCGAGTCCCGACACTCAGTCCTGGTTAAATTCTGGTTTAGTTCTGTTTTGCACATAGTTTAGATCTGTTATAGTCCTGGTTTAGTGCTTTTTCAGTGCTGGTTCAGTTCTGGTTTAGTCCTGCTTTAGTCCTATGACATTTCATGTAAAGAGGCAGAATAACAATAAATGTTGCCTAAATAAACCCAGTTTAAAATCCACAAGAGCCAAACCTAAGTTTTTTTTAAATAATTCAAGATTTACAGTGAATTTACATCACTAAATATATCGGTGATTATATCGGCTATCGGCAGCTCCAACTATCATTATATCGGTATCATATCGGCCACAACAAAATCCATATCGGTCGGGCTCTAGTTTATTTGTGAAAAAAGATCGAAAATAGACTGTTTAATGACGTCTTATAACGTCTTATAATCCAGAGCGACTAATAGCCCGGAAAATAGTCACATTTTCTTTGTGTTTTGGTTATTTTTAAGCAGCTTTTCTGTATTTTACTTAAATAAATGTCACTTTATTCCTCTCTTTACTGCTGGCAGGGATCAGATTGGTCCAAAATAGACACCTGGGACATTTCTTGACAAATTTCTGGGACAAATCAGTGGTTTTGTATAAATCTGCTGGGACGGGGGACACAGGCTCAAAACTGGGACTGTCCCGGGTAAAAAGGGACGCCTGGTTTCCCTAACTTTGAGGATTTTAAAGTTTATGTTGTGAAAATAGAAATCAATCCCCCAAAATCCAAAATTTGTGAAAGCCGGATCCCCTGGGGAATGTTTTTATTTCAGATTGTTGATTTGTGAACTCAGAAACATCATGAGAATCTGAGGAAATGATGGTTGTGATTTGTTAATTGCGTCCGTTCAAACAGTGACTTCGTTTGTGCTTAATCTTGCTTCCTGCTGTTTTATTTACCTTGAAAAAACACAAAACATATTTTTTTTGTCGCTTATTTCGTAAACACAACACCTTTGTTCAGCCAAAAGCCGCGTTCACTTTTGACCGAGCCGTTTGTGGATAACCTGATTTTTGTGCAGCGTTTTCTCAATGTGCGGCGTCTTTTTTTTTTTTTTTTTTTTGCTGAGGAAACACTTCTAATTGTGGTTGTGCGGCTCCGGCTCACGCTGCGTTTAACACCGACAGAATAATAATGTTATTCACACCGCTCCAGTCACATCCTGTTTCTCCCGCGCAGGAGAGAGGTGCGATCAGACGGGACGCGCGCGGGGACAAAATACATTCCACCTTTTTGGGATCGAGTTTATCGGCGGCGGCTCGGCGTGGGGCGTTTGTGAGCGCCGGGCCCCGTGGGAAGATGCAAAGATTTGAGAAGCGTCCGGACGATCGATGCCACACTTTTCTATCGACGGCGTTTGGACACGGGGGGGAGGGGGGGGGGGCTTTTCAACCGAGACGCGTCGATGTGTTCGGCTAAAAATAAACGAACGCCCGATTTTTGACGCGTTTTTAAAGACGCTCGGAGGAAAGACACGTTAGTCCTCAAAGATAATGTGAAAAAAATACAAATATTGATTAAGATTTGAGAGAATTTAGATGTTTAGTTCCTTCTCTACAGTGGGGCTTTAAGGTGCTGTAGTCTGGGGTTAAGGGTCCTGGTTTAGTCCTGGTTTAGTCCTGGTTTAGTCTTAAATAAGTCCTGGTTTAGATTTGGTTTAGACCTGGTTCTGTCCTTATTCAGCCCTTGTTTAGTCCTGGTTTAGTCCTGATTCAGTCCTGGTTTAGTCCTGGTTTGCCTCTGGTTTAGTCTTTGTTTCAACCTAGTTTCGTCCTATTTTAGTCCTGTTTTAGTCTTAATTAGGTCCTGGTTTAGTCTTGGTTTAGTCTTGGTTTAGATCTGGTTTATATCTGGTTTAGTCTCGGTTTAGTCCCGTTTTAGTCCTGGTTTAGACCTGGTTTAGTCCTGGTTTAGTCCTGTTTTAGACCTGATTTAGTCTTGATTCAGTCCTGGTTTAATCTCGATTGAGTCCTGGTTTAGTCTTTATTTAGACCTGGTTTAGACCTGGTTTAGACCTGGTTTAGTCTTGGTTCAGTCTTGGTTTAGACCTGGTTTAGTCTTGGTTTAGTCTTGGTTTCGTCTGTCTTGGTTTCGTCTTTGTTTAGACCTGGTTTAGACCTAGCTGAGTCCTGGTCGAGTCCTGGTTTAGTTTTGGTTTATTTAGTTACTTAGTAAATGATGAAGGAAACAGGTTTTTTCAGTAAAAACATTTTAAATTCATAAAACTGTGGCTGCTGCAGCTTCACACACACAGGACCTGGAGCAGACGAGACCTGAGGCATTTTGAAATCTGCAGCTGTGACTGTGGAGGGCAGATCGGATTTAGAGAGAAAGAGAAGAGAGAGTAAAAACTTGGACCTGTTCAGCTTCTTTAAAGAAGACCTGTTTTCCTTTACTGTCACATATTATATCCCCGTGTTCCTTTTGCTGTTTTACTCCTCTCCAGGCAGACGTTGCAGATTTGCAACAGATAAATTCCAATTACCTACTTACTCTAGATCCATATTTTATGAGCTTTTTTTACTCAGGAGCCTTTTCTCCCATCCATGCTGATAAACGTGGGCGATGCAGACTGTGCAAGAACAACTACAAGTGCAAAACACTTTTTTTGTTCACAAAGGATAAAAAAGTCAGGATTGTATATTACTGCCCCATATTATAATTTTCCCCAAATATCTGATTTTTCCTGATACTAAAAGTTAATTTGAGCCTGAGAGGGTTAAAAATACCAAAAACAACACATTAACAAGTGTCACTTTTTTTTCTGATTCTCTGAGTTCTCCTGTCTTTGCTCTCTGTGCTGAGTCACTCCCCCTTCATATCACTCTGACAATACAACGAAATGAAATGTAAATAAATGTTTCATTATTAATTCACCAGAACCTGCAGCAGTTTCTCCACAGTCACAACGAGACGCGGAGAACCAGGAGACGACTCTCTGTCCTCTAACTCCTCCTCTCTCTCTCTCTCTCTCTCTCTCTCCCCCCATCACTCTTGCTCTCTTTCAAACCTCCTTTCTCTCATCTTCCTCTCCTATCTCTCTTTTTCTTTCCTCCTATATTTCCATCTCTTTTTCTCTCTCCTATCCATCTCTCTCTCTCTGTCTCTTTCTCTCTCTTCTCTCTCTCTCTGTCTCTTTCTCTCTCTTCTCTCTCTCCCCTCTCTCTCTCTCTCTCTCTCTTCTCTCTCTCTCTCTCTCTCTCCCCTCTCTCTCTCTCTCTCTCTCTCTCTCTCTCTCTCTTCTCTCTCTCCCCCCTCTCTCTCTCTCTCTCTCTCTCTCTCTCTCTCTCTCTCTCTCTCTCTCTCTCTCTCTCTCTCTCTCTCTCTCTCTCTCTCTCTCTCTCTCTCTCTCTTTCTCTCTCTTCTCTCTCTCTCTCTCTCTCTCTCTCTCTCTCTCTCTCTCTCTCTCTCTCTCTCTCTCTCTCTCTCTCTCTCTCTCTCTCTCTCTCTCTCTCTCTCTCTCTCTCTCTCTCTCTTCTCTCTCTCTCTCTCTCTCTCTCTCTCTCCTCCTCTCTCTCTCTCTCTCTCCCCCCTCTCTCTCTCTCTCTCTCTCTCTCTCTCTCTCTCTGTCACTCTTGATCTCTTCCACAATTTTTTTCACTCATCCCCCCTCCTATCTCTCTTTCTTTTTCCTCTTGTATTTCCATCTCTCTCCTCTCTCTCTCTTTCTCTTTTCTCCCCTTCTCTCTCTCTCTGTCACTGTCATTCTCGCTCTCTTCCTCAACTTTTATTCTCTCATCCCCCTCTCTCTCTCTCTATTTCTCTTTCTTATTATATTTCCATCTCTTTTTCTCTCTCCTCTCTCCATCACTCTCTCTTTCTGTCTCTTGCTTTCTCCCCCCTTCACTCTCGCTCTTTTCCACCACTTTTTTTCCTCTCATCCCCCTCTCCTATCTGTCTTTCTGTTTCCTATTATATTTCCATCTCTTTTTCTCTTTCTCTCTCCACAATTCCTTTCTCTCATCCCCCTCTCATATCTCTCTTTCTCTCTCCTCCTGTAGTTCCATCTCTCTCTCTCTCTCTCTCTGTCACATTCACTCTCTTCCACACCTCCTTTCTCTCATCCCTCCTCCTATCCCTCTTTCTCTTTCCTCTTATAATTCCATCTCTTTTTCTCTCTCCTCTCTCTGTCTCTCTCTTTGTCTCTTTCTCTCCCCCCTTCTCTCTATCTTTCTCCCTCTCTGTCACTCTCGCTCTCTTCCACACCTCCTTTCTCTCATCTCCCTCTCTCCAGTCTCTCTCTTTCTCTTTCCTCTCATATTTCCATCTCTCTCCTCTCCTCTCTTCATCTCTCTCTCTCTCTCTTTGTCTCCATCTCTCTCCTCTCTTTCACTTTCTCTCTGTCACTCTCGCTCTCTTCCACACCTCCTTTCTCTCATCTCCCTCTCTCCAGTCTCTCTCTTTCTCTTTCCTCTCATATTTCCATCTCTCTCCTCTCCTCTCTTCATCTCTCTCTCTCTCTTTGTCTCCATCTCTCTCCTCTCTTTCACTTTCTCTCTGTCTTCCACACCTCCTTTCTTTCACCTGCCTCTCCTCTCTCTCTTTCTCCTTCCTAATATATTCCCATCTCTCTTTCTCCCCCCACCCTCTCTCTCTTCTACACGTCTTTTCTCTCATCTCCCTCTTCTCTCTTTCTCTGTTCTCCTCTCCTCTCTCTCTCGCTCCTCCCTCTGTTGTTCTCCGTCTCTCTCCAAACCCCCCTTCTCTCTCTCCCTCTTTTAGTCCCTCCATCTCTGTCACACAAATATAAATTGAGGTTGTATTGACCCTCGTCCTTTGACTCTGATCATTACCCAGCAGCCCTCGCGTTAACGAAGCGAACCGCGAGACCACGAGAAAAGGTCGACCGTTCAATTTGTGACGCGTCAAACTGCTCATTTCCTCCCTCGTTTTTTTTTCTTCTACTTCTTACTTTTTCTTTAACACAATCCGTAACTTTTACCGAGCAAAGTTAATGTAAACAAAATCCAAGGCTTTTTTTTTTTTTTTTTTTTTTTTGATTAATAGAAATGAATAACAACACTTTTATTTCGTTAAATGAAGGTTGAACTGTCAGAAAAATCCTTCCTTGCGCATAAACTGTCCCTGGATTTTGTTTATACTTTTCCGTGTTGATGATGTTTTACTCAACTTCCTGCATTTTTCTTCTTTTCTTCTCAAATTTTTCCTACAAACTGAACTTAAAGGTTGTATGGAGGATTTTTTTTGTTTCAAATTTTCAGTGAAAGATTAAAACACCATTACAGAGACGCAGCAGCTTTGTAATTATGACGACCAAAAAAAAAAAGAACAAAAATCTATCAACTGTGGACGTAATGAGGCCAGATAAACGTTCAGCCAATAGAAAACGAGGCTCCCTCATTTTCTATTGGCTGTTAGGTTGTCAATCAAACTCCCTAGTGTAACTGACTCGTCGGAGCGCTGGGATTTCGTGGTTTATGCAGCGGTTCTTAGAGGCTTTTTCGAACTGTCGCTTCCTCGCATTTCGCACAGTTTGTCGCGATGGCGGACGAGAATCCACGACCGGTTCGCCCAAAAAAAGTCAGTTTTTGAGGTCGCTGAAAGAAGAAGAGAAGAGGAAAAGGAAGCAAAGTCAAACTGAGAGGTGATTCTTGGAGATCTCGTTCCAGCGATGGCGCGCGAAGCAGACGAAGGGTCTAAAAACTGACTCGCTCGGTCGCTGAATTACTTATAGACAGGAAACTTCAACAGTGATTCTGAATGTGCACAAAGACTGTCGCTGTATTTCTCTTCCCTTAAAAAAATCCTCTATACAACCTTTAACTAAACATTGACCACAGGTTTTATCCACCAAACATTAGAACCACATGAAATCTGGTAAAAAAGTTCTTTAAAATGTTGTTTGTTTTTCTCTCAGGATGGCTTCACGAACTGGCCAAACGGTTGGGAACGCCGTACTTCCTGACGCCGCTCGGCTCCCTGCTCGGAATCTCAGACCCAGAGGTGAGAAAACAGAAACATACGAGCAAAAACAAACGTGTGATCTTTTATCGGGCAAATTGTTATTTCTGTTGTAGTTTGAGACTTTTTTTAATGGTTTTTAATAATGGAAAGCAGAAACGGTTTACACATTCTTTTGTGCCACTAGCTGTTAAACTGCTAAACTCAGATAGTGCAGTTAAAAAAATAATTATAAAAGGCTTAGGGATTGTGCAATCAAAACTGAACATAGGTGTAGGGAATGTGCAATTAAAGCTACACATAGGCTTAAGGAATGTGCAATAATTAAATCTGCACGTAGGCTAAGGGAATGTGCAATAATTATAACTAAAACTGCACATAGGCTTAGGGAATGTGCAATAATCATAACTAAAACTGCACATAGGCTTAGGGAATGTGCAATAATCATAACTAAAACTGCACATAGGCTTAGGGAATGTGCAATAATTATAACTAAAACTGCACATAGGCTTAGGGAATGTGCAATAATCATAACTAAAAACTGCACATAGGCTTAGGGAATGTGCAATAATCATAACTAAAACTGCACATAGGCTTAGGGAATGTGCAATAATTATAACTAAAACTGCACATAGGCTTAGGGAATGTGCAATAATCATAACTAAAACTGCACATAGGCTTAGGGAATGTGCAATAATCATAACTAAAACTGCACATAGGCTTAGGGAATGTGCAATAATCATAACTAAAACTGCACATAGGCTTAGGGAATGTGCAATAATCATAACTAAAACTGCACATAGGCTTAGGGAATGTGCAATAATCATAACTAAAACTGCACATAGGCTTAGGGAATGTGCAATAATCATAACTAAAACTGCACATAGGCTTAGGGAATGTGCAATAATTATAACTAAAACTGCACATAGGCTTAGGGAATGTGCAATAATTAATAGAACAGAAGAATGCAAGGGTTAAGGATAATTTAAGGGTCCTGTTGGTGCATCACTCGTGGTCATACTGGTCTCATATTTACTTTGTTTTATGGTGTTTGTTTATGTGCTGCTTTGTGTTGTGTTGTCCTGTTTTTTGATAAAACATGTTACCCCCCGTCCCAAGACAAATTTCATCCATGGGAGACAATAAAGGATTATCTTATCTTGTCTTTAGTCCCTTTTGACATTTTGATTGAATAAGTTTGTATAATCCAGATAATATATATATTTTTAAAGAATAACAAGAAGGAAAACCTAAAATAGCGAGATTGTAAATTGTAAAAGAAGTTGTGGTCTCCTTTGTTGTAGTTCTTTTGATTTATTTGAACCTTTTGCTTTAGTATTTCTTCTCTAGTTGATAACACACCTTACACGAGCAGCTTCGGTGTGTTTGGAAGCATCAGTTACGAAACAGAAAAACATTACAAAGTGTTTCCACTGTTTGCATCAGCCATTTTGGACACTGCACTTTCTGAATTAAACAGGAGAATCGGTGCACTCAGCTTTTCTCTGCATATACACATTTAAAAACAACAACCGAGGGTTTTAGGTCAAGAGTCGAGCACTTTAATCTTTAATCTGTGTGTCGTTCGTTCATTTGTTTTTCAAAATAAAAACAAAAATAAGAAAAATGAAAAAACAACAATTTTCTTCATTATTTGTCTCCAAAACCAAAATGAAAAAACAGATAATGATTCGTTTTTTCAGTTTTTGATTTTGTGTTTAAATGAAAAATGGAAAAAACGGATCACGGACTGAACCAGGACTAAACCAGAACTAAACCAGGACTAAACCAGGACTGAACCAGGACTGAACCAGGACTGAACCAGAACTAAACCAGGACTGAACCAGGACTAAACCAGGACTGAACCAGGACTGAACCAGGACTAAACCAGGACTGAACCAGAACTAAACCAGGACTGAACCAGAACTAAACCAGGACTGAACCAGGACTGAACAAGGACTGAACCAGGATTAAACCAGGACTGAACCAGGACCAGGAACGAGACTGGGACCAAAACCGGGATCAGACCAGGACTGAGACTGGGACCTGGTTTAGTCCTGGTTATGACCTGGTTTAGTCCTGGTGTAGTCCTGTTTTAGTCTTGGGATCAGTCCTAGTCCCGGTCCCGTTCTGGTCTCTAGTCTTGTCTGGTCCTGGTCTCAGTCCCGGTCTCAGTCCCGATCTCAGTCCTGGTCTGGTCCTGTCTCAGTCCTGGTCTGGTCCTGGTCTCAAGTCCTGGTCACAGTCCTGATCTCAGTCCTGGTCTCAGTCCTGGTCTGGTCCTGTCTTAGTCCTGGTCTGGTCCTGGTCTCAAGTCCTGGTCTCAGTCCTGGTCTGGTCCTGGTCTCAAGTCCTGGTCTCAGTCCTGATCTCAGTCCTGGTCTCAGTCCTGGTCTAAGTCCTGGGTGCAGTCCTCGTCTGGTCCTGGTCTGGTCCTGGTCCTGGTCCTGGTCTGTTTTTTCATTTTGGTTTTGGAGACAAATAATGAAGAAAATTGTTGTTTTTTCGTTTTCTTAATTTTTGGTTTTATTTTGAAAAAAAAAATGAACAAACGACACACAGATTCACTTTATCTTCTTTATCTGGAGTTCTGTCTTGAATTTGGTTGGATTTTTTTGCACGACATAACTTTTCTGGTGGAGGTTCTACGTGTTATTACTTATGGGATTAAATTTATTAATCTACACGGACTCCAGACTGTTTTTCTGTAGCGTCCGTCCGTCCGTCTGTGTGTTTTCTTTCTTTAAATCCGTCCCTTTGTTTTGTTTTTTCCTCAGCCCACCATGGCAGCGTCCGTGTCCAACAGCAGCCAGTGGAACTCGTCGGGTCTGGCTCCTCCGGTCCGGTCCCGCGCTCGGCCTCTGGGCTCTGGGATGAGTCTGAGCGGGGGTCCGTCCGTGCGCAGCTCTTACGTCACGTCCTTGTACTTCGCCCTGAGCAGTTTGACCAGCGTCGGGTTCGGGAACGTCTCGGCCAACACCGACTCGGAGAAGATCTTTTCCATATGCACCATGTTAATTGGAGGTGAGTCTGGGCGATTAAAACAGAAAATATCATTGTTCTGACGAGCCGCTCAGACTGGGAAGAGTTTATGTTATGACTAAGCAATAAAAAAGTGAAATTTAAACACGTCTAAAATAAAAGAAACACAACTTTAGTCCAGGCACGAGGTAAAATTATAAACCGAATGTGGCCTGAAGCTGGATAGTGCCGAGGTCTGGTATTTACAGAAGCCGAGAGGGGTCACAACAAACGCAAACGCTGCGACAAATACAAATGCCACAACACATTAAAAAGCCACAACACATCAAAAAGCCACAACTGAATCGTACGATAACTTTTAGCGAGCTCGATAACTTTTCCGGCCGCAATTAATTCTATTTGCAGCTTGTTTGTTTTCCTCACTCTCTCGCTCTCAGAGACTGAATGTTAGAAGCTTCTGTCGCTCTCTGATTCCTCTCGTTTAACAGTCGTAATGACGCTTGAACCAGCGTGCGCTGTGTTTATGAACACAGTGGATTCACGCGCAGCCTGATTGCGGAAAACGCAGCTGTCTGTGCGTCGAACATGAAACCGCAACACAAACGCCACCGTCAGAACCAAAACAGTTCATCACCATGTGACAAAACAAGTCACGATGCCAATTTAACACTGGTGAGTGGGACTCGTCTCAACAGACATGTGCAGCAAAGGCAGAGAAACTCAAACGACGAGAAGAAATGTCTCAAAGCCCAACAGCCGACATACACCTAAACCCGAGCGACAGAACTAACCCCGCCCCTGGAAGAGCCCGAAATCCACTGAAATCCCACAAGACACAGACATGATACCAGACAGGACAGAGGCTCCCTCAGAGCGAAATAACATCCTGTGTCACGAGTTCAGACGAACAAATGACCAAAACGCAGAGGCTCAGAGCAGCAGCCACAGAGACGAGACACAATATTCCAATGTAAGTCAACGACTAAAATCACTTTTAAGGGCAATTTTGTTACAGAGACTTAATAATCCATTTTATTGATTGTTTTGGTTGTATTTGGTTCAGCAGTGGTTTATTCAAGTACATTTTTGTGAACAAGTCCTCGCTGTGAGACAGACACATGAGGCTATTCTTACGTGAACAAGTCTGTTTTATTTAGGCCTGTTGTTTTTGTTTGTTTTACAGTTTTGAAATGGTGTATTTACATTTTTATTTCATGGTCATTATATTAGTTGAAAATGGTCTCAAAATGTCAAAATTATCGTTTATCGCAATAAATTCTTGGTCAGTTAATCGTCCAGCAAAATCTGTTATCGTTACAGGTGTAATACAAGATGTACCAGGCCTAGTAATATGGGTTTTATAGTTTATAAGCCGACACATGATATAAGAGCTCTTGTATATTTTTCCATATTTTATTCCTTGAGTCCCTGGTGTGCGTCCGAGCTGCGGGAGGCTGTGCTCCGGCTCTGCCACTCGGATCACGAGGCGGGTCAGATCGACACAATCACCGCTTAATAACAGAGAAACGGCGGGTCACTCTGCGTTCTGTCCCCGAGGGGATTTCAACCCTTCAATTTCCATACTAATGCGTGTGTTTAACGAGCGGACGGACGGGCGGAGGACGGAACCGAGGACGAAACGAGCCGTGACAGAGAACAGGCGGAATCTACAACCGAGGCTCCGTTTACAACACAAACAAAAGAGTCACGTTAGATCAGATTTATGGAAATTGACTGGTTTGTCTAGAATATTCCACAGTATAGATTAAACCAACTGTGTCTGTCAGATCTGTGGAGAGACGCTCCTTTTCACAGAAGGAATTATTGTATTTCTGTGCAGTAGAAACACACGTAATGAATAAATGCTCAATGGAAATGTTTAATGTCGTCAAATAAAACAGAAAACGCACAACAAATGCAAGAAACAGTAAAATAAAAGTGGAAAAATGCACAGTGCCCTCAAGTCGCGGATTTCCAGAAGCTTTTTTTTTTTTATTTTTAAATAATGTTTTGGCAAAAAAGCCTTCGTCACATATCACCTTTCTGGCCTTGGATGACTGTGGTCCAAGTGGAGTCTGACGAAGGTTTTTTTTTCCGAAATATGTCTGTTTAATGTTATACTACGAAACATTCCAAGGAAACCGATAACAACAAAAGTTTTAGAACACCACGCTTTTTCCAGTTTTTTGCCGTTTCCTGTTTACTGTTGACCAAAACGTATTCTAAACTATAACAGCTGAACTCACTCGTGGCTCGTTCTTTTTACGACACAAATCAAATATTGTTGAGAAAGTTCCCCCCAAGTCTGTTGCTGAAGTTTCCGTAAAAGTGTGGCACTTGTCGGTTGCTTCACTCTTCAGTCCAGTTCATCCCAAACCAGCTCGATGGGATTTGAGGGTCTGTTTACACGAGAACGCTTTATTTTCATCAGAAGTGTCTTTCGTTTAGACGGTGACGGCGTTTTTGGGGCTGAAAAACGCAAAAAATCAGAGACCAGCCTCCAGAGTGGAAAAGTTGAATAGGTTCCACCGTAGTGTTTCCGTCTACACTGGCCAAGACGCAAAACTCTGGTCAGATCTGCTCAGGTCGCGTACGAGTTTACGTGACATACATCACCACCGAGCGTCACCACCGAGCCGCCTGGCATGCACACACAATCCAGTTCCACACACTTTTGCGTCACCACATCCACGCAGATTTCCTCCCGAAAACACTCGTTTAAAAACACGGAATAATAAGTGAAAACGCCACTTTTGCATTTTCTGTTCAGACCCTCATCATATAAACGTAGCCTGAGTCTGGACACTGTGCTGCTGGACACTCCATGTTTTCAAACTCACCATCTTGTTCTTTTTTCCTGAGGTAGTTCTGGCAGGTTCGGTTCTTACCTTCGTACCATTTCAAGCTTGACTGAAGACTTGAACTGCAATAAATAACTGGAAAAATTCTAAAACTTCTAAATCTTTTGACCGGTAGTGTTTGTTATTAGGATTTTTTTTCAGACCAAGAGTTTGTTTTCCTCCTGACAGTTTGTTCTGTTCCCTGCGCTCTTCCTCAGAGTCTCGTGATGTTTCTGGTCGTGTCGCTCGGTTGATTTAAACAGGTTTTGACGCTGTTTTCCTGTCGGTGGAGGCAGGACGACAGCGCCACCTGCAGTCCCACTTCCTCAGGACAGAATCCCAGGTGTGTGAGAGTAAAAAAGCCCCTCGTCCCGGTTCACAGCAACATCACGAGACTCTGAGGAAGAGCGCAGGGAAACAAACTCTTGGTCTGAAAAAAGAACCTGATAACTTGTCGAGTGTTGTTCCGTGTTTGTCCCCGTAGCCCTGATGCACGCCGTGGTGTTCGGGAACGTGACGGCGATCATTCAGAGGATGTACTCTCGCCGCTCTCTGTACCACACCAGGACCAAGGACCTGAAGGACTTCATCCGAGTCCACCGTCTGCCCACGGCCCTGGAGCAGCGCGTCATGGAGTGTTTCCAGACCACCTGGGCGGTCAACAACGGCATCGACGTCAGCGAGGTGCGAGGGTTCTCTTTTTATCTGTTTATGTATCTGTGTATGAGTGTTTTCATTGGTGGTTTTCAGTTTACAGAATATTTTTTCCTTTTTGATCACATTGTTCTTTGGCATGAAATCGCCAAAAGGTAAATTCACAAATGTTCAACCCGATCATTTCTATTAGTGACTCGACTCAGTATCCAATCTGCGTTTTACCAGTGTCCACTTCAGCTGCCCTCATCTGTTTTTATCTCAAATCCAAAATCCAAAATCCACTTTATTTCTACAGCACATTTTACAAGCAAAGCCCTTTCCAAAGTGCAGCGCAGAGATCAGAAAATGAACACAACAAAAAGGGAAATTGCTAAAACTTGGTCACTCCAGCAATAAAACAATAAAACCAGTTAAATCAAAATAAAAGCAAAACCATAAAAATCATAAAATAGCAGTAAGTAAGTAAAATAAATAAAAGACACACGACTCACACGGTGTTAAAAGCCAGAGAGTAAAACAGTTTTAAGACGCTGTTGGGACGTGGGGGGGGGCAGAATGTTCCAGAGTTTGAGTTCGGTCACAGAGAAGGTCCTGGACTCTTGATTTTAAGTCTGGTTTTAGGTCCCACGAGCCGGAGCTGGACCTCAGACCTCCTATCTGTTTTAAATATTCTTCACCTATAGAATGTTGTGATGTATCTGAAGCTCTTTAAAAGCTCTTTTGTTGGTCAGATACTGTTGTAGTCACAGCTGTCCTGGGGCAGACTGACAGAAGTGAGGCTGCCAGTTTGAGTCAGGCCCCTCTGACCAACACCGACACTCACACCGCTCGTACTGGGCAGTGTGGGTGAAGTGTGTTGCCTAAGGACACAATGTTTGCATTAGATCCACTACTGCTCCCCGTGGCCCCATCCAAGTCCTGCCCAGACCCGACTCTGCTCCGAGCTCTTCTGGGGGGAGGTGTGTCCATGTTACAGGATTTATCAGAGCCGAGTTTCTCTCAAAGATTCAAAAGTGAATTATCACAATCAGAACTTTTAGGTCCCTTTTTAAATGGTCATAAAATCCACTTAGATTCATGTATTTTTCTACTTTCAATCTACCCAAACATGTGAATAAATGTACAGTACACATCCAGGTCCTCACAAAAATATATTAAAATAATTATTTGGAGCTGTTATAGACTGAGAATAAGTGTAAGAAATACTTTCAGAAAAAGTCTTGAGGGAAAATTTGGGGAAAAATCTATAATTTTGCTATTTCCCATAATCTGAAGGTTCAAAATATTTTGTTTACTAAGTTGGATTTTGAGTTTTACGACTGCTAATTAACATAAAAGCATAGCCAGTCTAATCAAATTAAAATTCTCTTTATTTGAATGGATCTGAATGGAAAAAATGGAAAAAACAAGTCCCATATTAATAAGCAATTTAGAAGGATTAGAAGTCAAGATCCAGGTTGGTAAACAAAATATTCAGAATCAGCACCTTCAAATTATGTTTTAAAAAATAATAATAAAAATGTTTACCAATTTTTCCTCAGATTTGCCCTCAGGATTTCTCTTGTGTGAAAATAATCCAGGTCTTTTAGAGTCTGTCCCACTGTTTTTTTCAGCCTGTGTTTCTTTGAGAAGGAGGTGAGCAGAGGTGAGGATCTTCAGATGAAAAAACACAGTTAGAAGTTAAAATAAATAGAGTTTTAAATATGTAACCTGTGTATAAATGCACCTTGACAGTGTTTCGTGTGTGTGCTGTACGTTTGCCTCTCTCGCTCTGGTCAGGTGCGCCCCTGTCAGTTACAATGGGATCACATGAACTCCGGTTTCTAAAATTGGTCCAAAAAAAAAAAAAACCCTGATGATTTTTGCCGCTGGGTTTGAATCCAGTCAAAGTCGTGTGAAGGATTTCCGTCACGCCAAAGTGGAAAGTGTTTGATTTAACGGTTTATTGCTCCAGAGGTGATAAACTAAACCTGTGTGTATCTGTGTTTAATCTGGTTTATCTGATTTACTGGGAGCAGTGATGCAGACAGAAGGAGCTGTGTGGGTCACTGCGTTTAAAGGTGCACTGTGTAACTTTTCAGGTGGAGGGTTTGTCAGATGCTTTTCTCCATGGAGATGTCATTGCTTTGTCTAGAACGGGCATGTCCGAGCTCTGGCCCTCAGGCTTCCAGGTGAACTGGCCCAAATGACCTTCAGTACTTTTACTACAAGTTATCTGAAAATGTACCTTGATAAAGCCAATATCTAGTATTTCGTGTGTACCTTTTGTAGGCTTGAACAGAGGTCTGATGGCTCATTCTGACATGTTAAAAATGCACATATTTCAATTATTCACTCTGCTGTCCACCAGTCAGTGGGCCTCAAACAGCCTCTGCTTCATCTGCGTTTTGACATGTGGTAGGGATGGGCATGATTAGTCAATTAATCGATAATTGATCATTAAGAATTTCATCAATTACGTAAATTTTTATCGACAAACCGAATGTAGGTTGCTGTGCGTAGTGTAGGAAGACCAAACAGGTGTGTACATGTGTCTCTGCATCAGAAGGAGCGAGACACAAACAGTGGGTCAGTCTGTAACGAACCGAAGCACAAATGTGGATTTAACCAGGATTTGTACAAGAAATTCCACACTTTCCGTTGCGTTGGGACAAGTGTGAGTCCATGTGCACAGTGGATAAAGCAGCACATATGTTTCTGTGTCCAGTGGGAAAAAGTTTTACCAGGTGAGAGTCGCTCAATGTGGATGACGAGGCCCCGCCCCCCTCCCCCCGTACGCTGTCCTGGTTTTGACAAACACAAATCTGGTCACACTGACCTGTATTCACCTGAGTCATGTCTTTTAATCCAACACAAGTTGAACCACATCAACGCACAAGAGCTGGAGTTTTTTATCTTCGCTGAGTTTATGCAAATTAGTGATGTGGTTTTAAGTTTCTTTTCTGTGAGATTTGAACAAAACTGAATTAAACACATTATAATAAACGGGCTGATGTGGATCTAGAGTCGTTACGGTTTATTTGTCGTAAAGTTGAATTTATTTATGCAGATTAGTAGTGCAGCTAGTAATAATAATGATGATCATTTTAATATAAAAACATTAATGATTAATCGATAATCGATCGTTAATTCTCTTGACGATCGATTAAGAAAATTTCATCGAATGCCCGTCCCTAACATGTGGCCCTTGACGAACAAAGTTTGGACACCCCTGGTCACCTGTAGAATGTTGTGATGTATCTGAAGCTCTTAAAAAACACCCAAAACACTTTACAGAGCAGTATTCATTCACTGTTGGTCAGATACTGTTGTAGTCACAGCTGTCCTGGGGCAGACTGACAGAAATGAGGCTGCCAGTCTGCACCGTCAGCCCCTCTGACCAACACCGACACTCACACCGCTCGTACTGGGCAGTGTGGGTGAAGTGTGTTGCCTAAGGACACAATGTTTCCATTAGATCCACTACTGCTCCCAGTGGCCTGATCCAAGTCCTGCCCAGACCCGACTCTGCTCCGAGCTCTTTGGGGAGGGGGGGGGTCACAGTATGACATTAAGCCTTCCAGACCGACGGTATCGTATATGATACCAGGGGACATGTTTTATAAAATCCTGCATAACCTTCCAACCATTAAAGATAGAAACTTCCTTTTTTTTCCCTTTAAAAACCTAGAGTTGTGCCTCTCAGAGCAGATTTCGGGCATTATCCTCTGTCACTCGCTGCCTGATGATGCAGGAAAAAACGAGTGTCTTTGTTTTCCTCCAAACTCAGTCGCTCCGTCCATTTTGATTGGCCCAAACTTTGCCAAAGAGTGTAGTGAGTCAAAATAGTCGATGCTCTGAGCGTCTGTGTTTGTAACAGTTGAAAAAGTCTAAGTGCAGAGATTTCTCTAATAAATGGAAAATTACGCTGCATATCCCTTGTTATTTTTATTTTCAGGTTTATTTGAGTCCAAATGTCCAAATCCAAATGTAATAAACCACATGGAAATACAGGAAGTGATGTGGCTCTCTTTCCATGACCTGCACCAGTCAAGTCATGGGGCCACTGCACTTTTTTTGTTCTGTTTTGAGGCAATAAGGAGATTTTTATTTTATTTACACACTTGATATTTTGCACTTTTATAGCTAAGGCCCTAAATTAAGCATTTTTTGATGTCCAAAAATTGTTTCTCCATGTTTGTGTGTGTTTTGTATGAAAGAGTGTGAATTTTATTTTCCATTTCCTTTTTTTTTGTATTTCTGGTCCTGTAACTTTTATCACAACCAGATGACACAGCTACAGCAGCAGATTGTGAAATAACAGGTTGTACTGAAAAAAGGATGTGTAACACTTCATTAGGGGGTAAAACTGGGAGTTTTAAACGCAAAATTATGAAAAAAATCCAGGCGAGGTCTGGATGGGTCTAACCTTTTTATCTTGATTTTTGAGCTATAAAACTACCTTTAATTGAATAAATGTAAGGTAGATCTGTTTAATGTCACACTGGAACGTTCCAGAAGCAAGACGGTGACAAACCTGCAACCAAAAAGTTACACAGTGCCCCTTTAAAGTCCACAGAAGAGTCCACATTTGATTATTTTGTGATTTATTTGAGCTGTGATCGGTGAAAATCTGCCTTTTCCTTTGCAACACCATCATTTACTGAAAGATTTTAAACTGGAATCGATTTTGCCACTTTACAAGATCAAGAAAATTGCAAAAAAGTGTAAAAAAGTGCAGCGATACAAATGGTTTTTTAATGTGGTCTTTCGTGATGTGGCTGTTTTGTATTGACCGCGTCGCCGCTGCTTCTGCCGCTCGCGCTCGATTGAAAACGACATTCTGAATCTCAATGGGGCCTGCGGGGAAAATAAAAGTAAAATAATAAAAAAACACGGGACAAGAGAAGAGCGTGAGTCAGCTGAGGATGTGGTGTTTTTTCTGCAGATGTAGTAGTAATAGTTTTCTTCCTGGGCTCCCGTGAGTCCAGTTTGGGTCGGATACGCAGAGTTTTGATGAGTTTCGATGAGGTTCGAGAGCTTTTGCCGCGGTCGTGTGAAAAATTATGTATCTCTTGATGATAAATAATGAAACTATTTGCAAAGCCCGATGAGTTTTTGGAATACACACCAAGATTTATGCGATCTCCCTCCAACGTTAGACCCAGAATGTTACAAAGCTCCAAGTTTATATCCGCAGTATCTAAAGTGAGAAGGTGACGACTCATACCTCCATGTTCACGAATTTGTTGCTTCCTCACAACATCAGCGAGCAAAAGGGAAGAGAAGTGTTTACATCGAAGGGTCTTTGTAACAGTTCATGTATTTAATGAACAAACCAAATGAGTTTTAGTCTATGTTCACACTGCAGCCTAAAGTGAACCAAATCCGATTTTTTGGCCTCTATGTTCCTGTATCTGATCTTTTAATGACGTCTGAACGACACAGATCAGATTTTTTCAAATGTGACCCAGGACACTTGGATATGTGCTCCTGAAACCGACACATATCTGATCTGAACGGACAGGTCACATTCATCCGTCACAAATGTGCACAAACGTTCTTCTCGTCAGACCAAAATTGTGTCTGAATTCCGTGTGAGTGAAGCAGAGAAGCACAGAATCCCACACGTTTCTTTCTACGGACGTCGCTGCCGCTGCTCCACAAAACGCCACGTCCAAAAACCTCGTCCTTCTCCTTCTCAGTCTCCTCCTTAAAACAAATCATCTGCTCATGTTCTGGCTCCGGTACGAGAGGAACTTTAAAATCTCCAGGTGCTCGATGCTGCGTCCATGTTTAGGCGACTTCTGTAAACACTTAACACGCTCGCTGTGTGTGACGTCGTCGTGTCTCCAGTGTCACATGCGGGACACTTTTTAAAGTTCACACTGGAGTCACATTCGAGTCGCATTTAACCGGAAATGTGAACGACCTCACAAACTTCAGGCTGCAGTCTGAACGTAGACTTAGGCTGCGTTCAGTCTGCACCTGAAGTGACCCAAATCTGATTTTTTGGCCTCTATGTTCCTGTATCTGATCTTTTAATGACGTCTGAACGACACAGATCAGATTTTTTCAAATGTGACCCAGGACACTTGGATATGTGCTCCTGAAACTGATACATATCTGATCTTTTGACATGTGACTTCAGTCTGAATGGCCAAAGTGCATTCATCCACCTACACGTTCATCAACAAGACACAAACGTACACTATTCGTTGCTTCTGAAGTCAGACGAAAATTGTTAATTAAATCCTGTGTCACTGAAGTGAAGCACATCTCCACTCACCACTCTTGGCTCCGTCTCCACATCCACATGTTCCTTTCAACAGACTGAACCACAAAACACCACGACCAAAAACCTGGTCCTTCTCCTTCTCAATCTCCTCCTTAAAACAAGTCAGTTGTTCATGTTGTGGCTCCGGTACGAGAGGAACTTTAAAATCTCCAGGTGCTCGATGCTGCGTCCATGTTTGGACAACTTCCTGTAAACACAGAGACGCTCGCTGCGGTTGACGTCGTCGTGTCTCCAGTGTCACATGTGGGACACTTTTTAATGTTCACACTGGAGACACATACAAGTCACATTTAATTGGAAATGTGAACGACCTCGAAAAAACATCGGATTTCACAAAAAAATCGGAATTGAGCGTTAAGCCCTGCAGTCTGAACGTAGACTTAGTTACAAGACCGAAAGTGTTTCAAGAAGATCAGCTAATCACTATTTTAATTTAATCAGTTGTAGTCGATATTTTCCTGTGGAGGTTTGGCTTCATTTACTCAAAGACAGATTGAGGGAAATCTTTCCACGATAGAAATTTCCCTCACACCGCGCCGCCTTTTCACGACCAGTCGACCTGCAGCACGTCTTTTGTCCAACATAAATGTATTTTGTGGACTACAGCCGTACAAAAGTGAATGAAACCCTGTGTATTTCCTCTTGTTTCTTTGTTTATTCTTCTGTTCTTCCAGCTTGTGTTGCCTGTGCGTCTCCTGCAGTGGGAGGGCGAGCGGCTCCACACTCACCCACTCCTTCACAACAACATTTATTTTGCGCAGAAAAGACACAAACATGAAAACATTAAACTTACATATGAAGCTTCAGCGAGCGAGTACGTGTTTTTTTTATTTTTTTAATGCCGTACTGTGGAATATTACAGCCCAGTGCAAGAAACAAAACCGTCCATTCTGCTGTTGCCATGGAGATAAATATGTTTAAAGACATATTTGCTGAATTCTGAATAAAAATAAATTTATTCTGAATAAAAATTAATACCATGTAAACGCTGAAAAAACAGATAATGATTCGTTTTTTTTTTTCAGTTTTCGATTTTGTGTTTAAATGAAGAATAGAAAAAACGGATCACGGACTAAACCAAGACTAAACCAGGACTGAACCAGGACTGAACCAGGACTAAACCAGGACCAGGACTGAACCAGGACTAAACCAGGACTGAAACCAGGACTGAAACCAGGACTAAACCAGGACTGAAAACCAGGACTAAACCAAGACTAAACCAGGACTGAACCAGGACTGAACCAGGACTGAACCAGGACTAAACCAGGACTGAACCAGGACTAAACCAGGACTAAACCAGGACTGAACCAGGACTAAACCAGGACTAAACCAGGACTAAACCAGGACTGAACCAGGACTAAACCAGGACTAAACCAGGACTGAACCAGGACTAAACCAGGACTAATCCAGGACTAAACCAGGACTGAACCAGGACTCAACCAGAACTAAACCAGGATTGAACCACGACTGAACTAGGACTGAACCAGGACTAAACCAGGACTCAACCAGGACTCAGACCGGGACCAGACCGAGACCAGGACCAGGACTGAGACCGGAACTGAGAACGGAACCAGACCAGGACTGAGACAGTGACCAGACCAGAAGTGAGACTGGGCCCTGGTTCAGTCTTGGTTCAGTCCTGGTTTAGTCCTGGTTCAGTCCATTATCCGTTTTTCCCCCGTTTTTCATTTAAACACAAAATCGAAAACTGAAAAAAAAAAAACGAATCTTTATCTTTTTTTTCATTTTGGTTTTGGAGACAAATAATGAGTAAAGCAGGTGTTTTTTCGTTTTCTTATTTTTGGTTTTATTTTGGAAAACGAATGAACCGATGCTACACGGACTGTTGAAACATGCAACTTCCTGTTTATTTTAAGAACTTTGAACCGTTCAAAAGATCCAACATTTACATTTTCTGAATTGTTTTTTGCCGTTTCTTTCCTCACTTATGAATATCCGTTTTTTTTTTTCTCGTCTCCAGTTGCTGAAGGATTTCCCGGACGAGCTGCGCGCCGACATCGCCATGCACCTGAACAAAGAGCTGCTGCAGTTGCCGCTGTTCGAGTCGGCCAGCAGGGGGTGTCTGCGCTCCCTCTCCCTCATCATCAAGACGTCGTTCTGCGCTCCCGGAGAGTTCCTGATCCGACAGGGCGACGCGCTCCAGGCCATTTACTTCGTCTGCTCCGGCTCCATGGAGGTGCTCAAGGACAACACGGTGCTCGCCATCCTCGGTGAGAAACGCTCGGGTTAAAGCTGCGCCACGTAACTTTTCTGCTGAAGGATGGAAATGACGCTGTTTTCTGATCAGTTCTAATGTCGTTTTCTCGTCGCAAACAGACCTGGAGTTGTGTTTTTATTTCATTCACACATTTAACACACAACTCTGCAAACTGAAAATACTCCACTGTGTTTTTAAGATCTAAGACACTTTTACTAGAATCATTTGGATCATTTCAGCCTTTATGTTATTATTCCCACGGTCATGGAAATCCTGGAAAACTCATGGAATTTGAGTATTTCTTTCACACAACTCCAGCGTTCTGTTATGGATGGACCAGCCATAAAACCATCAGCGGTCCTGGTCTAGTCCCGGTTTAATCCTGGTTCAGTCCTGGTTCAAACCTGGTCCAGTCCTGGTTTAGGCCTGGTTCAGTCCTGGTTCAATCCTGGTTCAAACCTGGTCCAGTCCTGGTTCAGTCCTGGTTCAAACCTGGTCCAGTCCTGGTTTAGTCCTGGTTCAGTCCTGGTTCAGTCCTGGTTTAGTCCTGGTCCAGTCCTGTTTCAGTCCTGGTTTAGTCCTGGTTTAGTCCTGGTTTAGTCCTGTTTCAGTCCTGGTTCAGTCCTGGTTTAGTCCTGGTTCAGTCCTGGTTCAGTCCTGGTTCAGTCCTGGTTTAGTCCTGTTTCAGTCTTGGTTTAGTCCTGGTTCAGTCCTGTTTCAGTCCTGGTTCAGTCCTGGTTCAGTCCTGGTTCAGTCCTGTTTCAGTCCTGGTTCAGTCCTGGTTCAGTCCTGGTTCAGTCCTGGTTAGTTCTGGTTCAGTCCTGGTTCAGTCCTGGTTTCAGTCTGGTTTAGTCCTGGTTCAGTCCTGGTTTAGTCCTGGTTCAGTTCTGGTTTAGTCCTGGTCCAGTCCTGGTTTAGTCCTGGTTCAGTCCTGTTTCAGTCTTGGTTCAGTCCTGGTTCAGTCCTGGTTTAGTCCTGGTTTCCTGGTTCAGTCCTGGTTCAGTCCTGGTTCAGTCCTGGTTCAGTCCTGTTTCAGTCCTGGTTTAGTTCTGGTTCAGTCCTGGTTCAGTCCTGGTTCAGTCCTGGTTCAGTACTGGTTCAGTCCTGGTTTAGTCCTGGTTCAGTCCTGGTTTAGTCCTGGTTCAGTTCTGGTTTAGTCCTGGTCCAGTCCTGGTTTAGTCCTGGTTTAGTCCTGGTTCAGTCCTGTTTCAGTCTTGGTTCAGTCCTGGTTCAGTCCTGGTGTAGCCCTGGTTCAGTCCTGGTTCAGTCCTGGTTTAATCCTGGTTCAGTCCTGGTTCAGTCCTGGTTTAGTCCTGGTCCAGTCCTGGTTTAGTCCTGGTTCAGTCCTGGTTCAGTCCTGGTTTAGTCCTGGTTCAGTCCTGGTTCAGTTCCTGGTTTAGTCCTGGTTAGTCCTGGTTCAGTCCTGGTTCAGTCCTGGTTTAGTCCTGGTTCAGTCCTGGTTCAGTCCTGGTTTCAGTCTTGGTTTAGTCCTGGTTCAGTCCTGGTTCAGTCCTGTTTTCAGTCCTGGTTTCAGTCCTGGTTCAGTCCTGGTTTAGTCCTGGTTTCAGTCCTGGTGGTTCAGTCCTGGTTCAGTCCTGGTTCAGTCCTGGTTTAGTCCTGGTTTCAGTCCTGGTTCAGTCCTGTTTCAGTCTGGTTTAGTCCTGGTTCAGTCCTGGTTTCAGTCCTGGTTTAGTCCTGGTTCAGTCCTGGTTTCAGTCCTGGTTTAGTCTTGGTTCAGTCCTGGTTTAGTCCTGGTTCAGTCCTGGTTAGTCCTGGTTCAGTCCTGTTTCAGTCCTGGTCCCTTTTCAGTCCTGGTTCAGTCCTGGTTTAGTCCTGGTTTGGTTTAGTCCTGGTTCAGTCCTGGTTCAGTTTCAGTCCTGGTTCAGTCTGGTTTAGTCCTGGTTCAGTCAGTCCTGGTTCAGTCCTGGTTCAGTCCTGGTTCAGTCCTGGTTTAGTCCTGGTTTGTTCAGTCCTGGTTCAGTCCTGGTTGGTTCAGTCCTGGTTTTAGTCCTGGTTCAGTCCTGTCAGTCCTGGTTTAGTCCTGGTTCAGTCCTGTTTAGTCCTGGTTTAGTCCTGGTTTCAGTCCTGGTTCAGTCCTGGTTCAGTCCTGGTTTAGTCCTGGTTCAGTCCTTGGTTTCAGTCCTGGTTCAGTCCTGGTTCAGTCCTGGTTTCAGTCCTGGTTCAGTCCTGTTCAGTCCTGGTTTAGTCCTGGTTTAGTCCTGGTTTCCTGGTTCAGTCCTGGTTCAGTCCTGGGTCCTGGTTTAGTCCTGGTTCAGTCCTGGTTCAGTCCTGGTTCCAGTCCTGGTTCAGTCCTGGTTTTAGTCCTGGTTCAGTCCTGTTTCAGTCCTTGGTTTAGTCCTGGTTCAGTCCTGGTTCAGTCCTGGTTCAGTCCTGGTTCAGTCCTGGTTCAGTCCTGGTTTAGTCCTGGTTTCAGTCCTGGTTCAGTCCTGGTTCAGTCCTGGTTTAGTCCTGGTTCAGTCCTGTTTCAGTCTTGGTTTAGTCCTGGTTCAGTCCTGGTTCAGTCCTGGTTCAGTCCTGGTTCAGTCCTGGTTTAGTCCTGGTTCAGTCCTGGTTTAGTCCTGGTTCAGTCCTGGTTCAGTCCTGTTTCAGTCTTGGTTTAGTCCTGGTTTAGTCTTGGTTCAGTCCTGGTTTAGTCCTGGTTTAGTCCTGGTTCAGCTCGCTGGTTGTGGTGTGTTTATTGTTTATTCTCCTCTAATGTCTGTGGCTCTTTGGTCTTTTTCTAGATCTTCTCTTTCTTCTGGATAATAATGTCGTTACATCACTGAATAGTCGTCTCTGATTGGTCGACTCACACCTGAAGACGCGCCCCAAAAACGCAGGACGTCCCCAGACTAATAATAAAACTCAGACGTGTGAATGAAACAAAACACAACTCAAGGTCTGATTTTGACGGAAACGTCATTAAAACACGACTTAAACATCACATGGGTCGATTTTGCGTAAATACAGGATCTTTAAACATTACAAATCACTCCTGTATTTTATTTTTCGGTAATAAATTCAAAGTCAGACCAACTCCTCACGTTATTTAACCTTCCTCTGCCTTTGAGTGAGCAGAGCCGTGATGGACGCGCAGATTAGAGCTGATTGTGGCGCTCGCATAATCAATTAGCGACTGCTCCCTGGACACGCTCATTAAACACTCAACCTCGTCCACCGTCACAGCGCCGCGTCTTTCTCCTTTAAGCTTTAATATCGCACAACAGTGACAATAAAACGTGTACGAAACAGCCCAGATTCACACGTTGCAGCTGAAGCTCTGTTCGTCAAATTAATCTTTAGTCTGAGTTTTATTTCAAGACAATCTGACGAGAAAGAACTGATTTACAGGTGGAATCACAGGTGAGCTGATCGGTGCCGTTAAACAAGTTTAAATCCATCTATTATCTTAAAACCGTTTGGTACTGTTCCCTAAAGTGTGAGTTGTGTCACCGTGGCAACTTCTAAACATTCCTCCAATAGAAATATGTGTGAAGAATCCCTCAGTCCACGGCAAATGAGAAATTCAATTTGTCAACTGGACAAACGTTTATTTTGGTCGAAAATGTTTCATTCATCCACATTATGTACAATAAACACGTATAAAAACACAATTACAAAATAAAGTGTTACAGAGCTTCAGTGTAGAATGGCTTTGTTCCATAAACAAATAATTAAATGAATCCATCACGCTTGACTAAGACAATAAATATTAAATATATTTAAAAAAAACACATGATTTTTTCCAAGACAATGTACTAAAATTAACAGATAAATTTAGTTCTGGTCAGACGCTGGTGGACACTTCCTTATATCTGCCTGAAGGAGGAGCTAACTACACTGAAACTACTCTGAAACTAACACACCTACACGTTTACGGTTTCTGTTTGTTTTGTTTTATTTGTTTTAGTTTTGAGGATGGAGTTGTAGATTGGAGTTAGATGATGGCTGAGTAGGCGTTTCAGTTCAAGGAAGGATTATCGTTCCTAACAAAAACAGCTTCTTTAACACTGCCCACTCCCACCTGCTCCCACCCACTCCCGCCCACTCCCACCCACTCCCGCCAGCTCCCACTGGCTCCCCACCCACTCCTGCCACTCCCACCAGCTCCCACCTGCTCCCACCCACTCCCACTGGCTCCCCACTCCACTCCCACCCACTCCCACCGGCTCCCACCGGCTCCCACTCACTCCCACCCCACTCCCGCCCGCTCCCACCGGCTCCCACCGGCTCCCACTCACTCCCACCCGCTCCCGCCCACTCCCACCCACTCCTGCAAGCTCCCACCAGCTCCCACTGGCTCCCACCCACTCCTGCCCACTCCCACCAGCTCCCACCTGCTCCCACCCACTCCCACTGGCTCCCACTCACTCCCACCCACTCCCACCGGCTCCCACCGGCTCCCACTCACTCCCACCCACTCCCGCCCGCTCCCACCGGCTCCCACCGGCTCCCACTCACTCCCACCCGCTCCCGCCCACTCCCACCCACTCCTGCAAGCTCCCACCAGCTCCCACTGGCTCCACCGGCTCCCACCCACTCCTGCCCGCTCCCACCGGCTCCCACTGGCTCCCACCCACTCCCACCCACTCCTGCCCGCTCCCACCGGCTCCCACTGGCTCCCACCCACTCCCACCCACTCCTGCCCACTCCCACCCACTCCCACCCACTCCTGCCAGCTCCACCCACTCCCGCCCGCTCCCACCGGCTCCCACTGGCTCCCACCCACTCCCACCCACTCCTGCCCACTCCCACCAGCTCCCACTGGCTCCCACCCACTCCCGTCCGCTCCCACTGGCTCCCACCCACTCCCACCCACTCCTGCCCGCTCCCACTGGCTCCCACCCACTCCCGTCCGCTCCCACTGGCTCCCACCCGCTCCCACCCACTCCCACCCACTCCTGCCCGCTCCCACCGGCTCCCACCCACTCCCACCCACTCCTGCCCGCTCCCACCAGCTCCCACTGGCTCCCACCCACTCCCACCCACTCCCACCCACTCCTGCCCGCTCCC